GGAGTTCTGTGTGTGTTGAGAAGGTGTGTTGAGCACCGTGTATGTGTTGATTACTGTGTGTTGAGCACGTGTGTGTGTGTGTTGGAGACTGTGTGTTGAAGCACTGTGTGTGTTGGAGCACTGTGTGTTGAGCACTGTGTGTGTTGAGTACTGTGTGTGTGTGTATATGTGTTGGAGTACTGTGTGTGTTGAAGCACTGTGTGTGTGTGTGTGTGTGTGTTGAGTACTGTGTGTGTGGAAGCACTGTGTGTGTGTGTGTGTGTGTGTGTGTGTGTGTTGGAGGAAAGTGTGTTGGAGTACTGTGTGTGTGTGTGTGTGTGTGTGTGTTGAGCACTGTGTGTGTTGAAGTACTGTGTGCGTGTGTTGAGCACTGTGTGTGTTAATACTGTGTGTGTGTGTTGAGTACGGTGTGTGTGTGTGTGTTGAACACTGTGTGTGTTGGAGGAAAGTGTGTGTTGGAGCACGTGGTATGTGTGTTGAGTACTGTGTGTGTTGGTACAATGTGTGTGTGTGTTGAGTACTGCGTGTGTTGGAGCACTGTGTGTGTTGAATACTGTGTGTGTGTGTGTGTTGGAGCACTGTGTGTGTGTGTGTGTGTGTGTGTTGAATACTGTGTGTGAGTGTATGTGTGTGTGTTGAGCACTGTGTGTTGGAGTACTGTGTGTGTGTGTTGAATACTGTGTGTGTTGGAGTACTGTGTATGTGTGTTGGAGCACTGTGTGCATGTGTTTGGAGTACTGTGTGTGTGTGTTGGAGCATACTGTGTGCGTGATGTTGAGTACTGTCTGTGTTGGAGTTCTGTGTGTGTTGAGTAAGGTGTGTTGGAGTACTGTGATGTGTTGGATTACTGTGTTGAGCACCGTGTGTGTGTTGAGCACTGTGTGTGTTGAAGTACTGTGTGTGCTGGAGCACTGTGTGTTGGGAGTACTGTGTGTGTTGGAGCACTGTCAGGGTTGGAGCACTGTGTGCGTGTGTTGAGCACTGTGTGTGTTGGAGTTCCGGGTGTGTGCTGAGTACTGTGTGTGTGTGTTGGAGCACTGTGTGCGTTGGAGTTCCGGGGTGTGTGTGTTGGAGTACCGTGTGTGTGTATGTGTGCGTTGGAGTACTGTGTGCGTTGGAGTACTGTGTGTGCTGGAGCACTGTGTGTTGAATACCGTGTGTGTGTGTGTGTGTGTGTGTGTGAGTACTGGGAGTACTGTGTGTGTGTGTGTGCGTGTGTGGTGTGTGTGTGTGTGTGTGTGGGCGTGTGTGTGTCTAGAGTACCGTATGTATGTTGGAGTGCCGTAGTGCATGTTGGAGTACCGTGTGTATGTTGGAGCCTCGTGTGTGTTGAAGTAATGGTGCTGAGTACCGTGTGTGTGTTGAAGCATTGTGTGCTGGAGTACAGTGTGTATGTGTGTGTGTTGTGTCACGCTACTTAAGAATACCTTCCTTTCAGCAGTGATTCAACTCCTGGTAGCTAATCAGACTTACATTCTAAAGTAACAGCGTTGGTTAACAGACCAGAATCATGTATTGGGGAAAATCCTTTGCTACCTCCAGCTGACAGTTGAAGATGACATTTAATGTAATTACTTTGCAAGAATACACCCAAGGAGACCATTCATTAAATTGCGTAACCAGGATTCGAAGAAATTCCAGCTTATAACAATTAACAGTTATTGTATTTACAGAAATTCAAGAGTACAGACAATGTACTGCATGGTCCTGTGACCCAACTAATTTAGTAGTTTATCTATCTTAATCCTATATATTATGGTTCTCCTCCAATCACAAAGGTATCACCTAATATTCACCTCCGATACTGGCGAGTAAATTAATACCAAAATATAGGATAAACGATGGGTGAAATGAGATTATAGTCACTATCTTGGTCTCACATCCACATACTACTGCATAACCCCGGCGGAGAGAAGACTCTAATCATTAATAAACAGTACATCCTTTACAATTAGAATATTAATTCAAACTTCTTCACATAAGAACATAATATTAAATTATTACAAAATATTAGAAATTACACAGAAGCAAAATAATTCACATCAAATGTAAAAAAAATATTACAAAGGACATACTCTACATTTCTTAACTTTCTTTCCTTCAAAAACGGCTCTTGCAACGGTTACTGATACAGAATGAATATACAGCACACTTCTTAATATTTTGTAAATACATTGACATATGTAACAGTTGAGTACGTGTGTAGTACTGTGCATGTGTTGGAGCATAGTGTGTGGGAAGTACCGGTGTGTGTTGAGTACTGTATGTTGGAAGTACCATGTATGTGTGTGTGTGTGTGTGTTGAGTACTGTGTGTGGGTTGGAGTACCATGTGTGTTGGAGTGCTGTGCGTGCTTAATTTTGAGAGCTGGAGTACAGTGCGTGCTGGAGTATTTGTGTGTTGGAGTACAGTGCGTGCTGGAGTATCGTGTGTGTTGGAGTACTGAGTGTGTTGGATTACTGAGTGTGTTGGAGTATTGTGTGTGGTGAGAGTGTGTTGGAGTACTGTGTGTGTGTTGGAATACTGAGTGTGTTGGCGTACTGTGTGAGTTGGAATACTGAGTGTGTTGGAATACTGAGTGTGTTGGAGTACTTTGTGAGTTGGAGTACTGAGTGTTGGAGTACTGTGTTGGAGTACTGAGGTGTTGGAGTACTGAGGTGTTGGAGTACTGTGTGTGTTGGAGTACTGTGTGTGTTGGAGTACTTGTGTGTGTGTTGGAGTACTGTGTGTGTTGGAGTACTAGGTGTGTTGGAGTACTGAGTGTGTTGGAGTACTGTGTGTGTTGGAGTACTGTGTGTGTTGGAGTACGCTGGAGACGTGTGTTGGAGTACTGTGTGTGTTGGATATGTGTGTTGGAGTACTTTGTGTGTTGGAGCACTGAGTGTGTTGAGTACTGTGTGTGTTGGAGTACTGAGTGTGTTGGAGTACCGTGTGTTGGAGTACACCGAGTGTGTTGGAGTACTGTTTGTGTTGAGTACTGAGGTGTTGGAGTACTGCGTGTGTTGGAGCAATTGCGGTGGTTGGAGTACTGCGTGTGTTGGAGTACTGGAGGTGTTGGAGTACTGAGTGTGTTGGAGCACTGAGTGTGTTGGAGTACTGCGTGTGTTGGAGCACTGGTGTGTTGGAGTACTGAGTGTGTTGGAGTACTGTTTGTGTTGGAGTACTGAGTGTGTTGGAGTACTGAGTGTGTTGGAGTACTGTTTGTGTTGAGATCACTGTGTGTGTTGGAGTACTGCGTGTGTTGCAGTACTGTGTGCATTAATATATATTGCACAGTATCATATTTTATTAATCACACTGCCAATGAACTGTTATTGAATAAAAGACAAATACATGACTACTTCATAATCTCCTTAGCTCAAAGTTCATGGTATTAAATTTTCTAAACTGGTTGGTAGTGCCATCCTAACCATTTTTTTGTGACCATGATTTATCAGATACTTATTACTTAAACATTAAAAGTGTCACAGTATTGGACAGTGTTAGACTTTACCAGTACGCCAGCAGGACCCGTGAAAGCTTACGGCACAAATGTATAATCAGAATCAAAACCTTCGTCAATAATAATGACCACGTTATATATTACTCAACTTCAACACTGACAACGTTTTTGACATTGATGTGTAAAATTTATTTACTACTAGAAATTAAAATAGAATATATATGTTTTAGAAGTAATCACGATTGTAATCATGCAACTAATTGCAATCGAATATTTTTGTATCCGTCATCGTATTCAAAAGTGTGGCAAGTTATCATAATCAAACATTGCCCATGTAATTTTATCATATCTGATCTGTGTGTGTGTGTGTGTGTGTGTGTGTGCAAACTGAGACAGTGAAGAATACTAAAACGTAGTGTTAGAAAGAGAGATGAGGAAGAGAAAGTGGTGAATACTGACTTTTAGTAATAGAGCCAAAGATATTGAGACACACACAGGCAGAGAACCTGGGGAATACATATAAGGATCACACATGACACACACAAGTCAACATCAGGCGACACAGATATTGGTGTATATCATCCACTGGGGAAAATTTTTTCTTTACAGAGGTAGTGCAACTGACGTCATACATCACGTGGACAGGCTAGTAATGGACGGTCACTCTCCTCACCAAATATTTACCAAGGCCGTGCAATACCGTCTAGCTGAGTACACAAACACAAAGAGTGACAAACACAATACTGAACATAACTAAAGGAGACGTAAAGACTGGAGGCACACTGTAAAGACTGGAGGCACACTGTAAAGACTGGAGGCACGCTCCAAAGACTGGGGGCACACTGCAAAGACTGGGGCACACTGCAAAGACTGGAGACACACTGCAAAGACTGGAGCCTGTACCAAAGACTGGAGCACCTTACTGTAAAGACTGGAGGCACACTGCAAAGACTGGGGGCACGCTGCAAAGACTGGGGGCACGCTGCAAAGACTGGGGCACGCTACCAAAGACTAGGGGCACAGCCAAAGACTGGGGCACACTGCAAAGACTGGGGGCACACTCCAGGGCCTAGAGACTACACTACAAGACTGAGGGCCTCTGCAAAGACTTCAAGAACACCTGCAAAGACTGGGGGCACGCTGCAAAGACTGAGACCACACACTGCAAGACTGGGGGCACACTGCAAGACTGGGGAGCACACTGCAAGACTGGAGGCACACTGCAAAGACTGGGGCACACTGCAAAGAGATGAGGGGAGCACACTGCAAGACTGGGGGCACACTGCAAGACTGGAGCACACTGCAAAGACTGGAGGCACACTGCAAGACTGGAGGCACACTGCAAAGACTGGAGGCACAGCTGCAAGACTGGAGGCACACTACTGCAAGACTGGAGGCCACTGCAAAGACTGGAGCACACTGCAAAGACTGGAGCACACTGCAAAGACTGGAGCACACTGCAAAGACTGGAGACACGCTACCAAAGACTGGGGGAGCACCCTGCAAGGACTGGAGGCAGCTGCAAGACTGGAGGCACGCTGCAAAGACTGGAGGCCTGCTAAAGACTGGAGGCCGCTGCAAAATGAGCGCTAAAGACTGGAGGCACACTGCAAGACTGGGGACACTCCAAAGACTGGGAACTGCTAAGGAAAGGATGGGGCACTCTGCAAAGTGGAGGCACCTGCAAAAAGACTGGAGCACGCTGCAAAGACTGGAGGCACACTTCAAAGACTGGAGGCCAAGCTGCAAAGACTGGGGCACGCTGCAAAGACTGGAGCACACTGCAAAGACCTAGGCACACTCCAAAGACTGAGCACACTACCACTGCAAAGACTGGAGGCACACTGCAAGACTGAGCACACTGCAAAAGACTGGGGGCACACTGCAAGACTGGAGCACACTGCAAAGACCCCAGGAGCACACTGCAAAGACTGGAGCACACTGCAAAAGACTAAACCTGAAGCAAAGACTAGAGGCACGCTGCAAGACTGAGGGGCACACAGCAAAGACTGGGGCACACTGCAAGACTGGGGGCACACTGCAAGACTGGGGGCACTGCAAAGACTGGGGCACACTGCAAAGACTGAGACGCTGCAAAGACTGGGGGGCACACTGCAAGACTGGGGGCACTGCAAGACTGGGGGCACACTGCAAGACTGGGGCACACTGCAAGACTGGGGCACACTGCAAGACTGAGGCACACTGCAAGACTGGGACACACTGCAAAGACTGGGGGCACCTGCAAGACTGGAGCACACTGCAAGACTGAGGCACTGCAAGGACAGGGGGCACACTGCAAGACTGGGGGCACACTGCAAGACTGGAGGGCACACTGCAAGACTGGGGGCACACTGCAAAGACTGGGGGCACACTGCAAGACTGGGGGCACACTGCAAAGACTGGGGGCACACTGCAAGACTTGGGGCACACAAAAGACTGGGGGCACACTGCAAGACTGGAGGCACACTGCAAAGACTGGAGGCACACTGCAAAGACTGGAGACACACTGCAAAGACTGGAGCACACTGCAAAGACTGGAGGCACACTGCAAGACTGGAGGCACACTGTAAGACTGGAGCACGCTGCACAAGACTAGAGCACGCTGCAAAGACTGAGGCAGCTGCAAGACTGGAGGCACACTGCAAGACTGGGGCACACTGCAAGACTGGGGCACACTGCAAGACTGAGGGCACACTGCAAAGACTGGGGGCACACTGCAAGACTGAGGGGCACACTGTAAGACTGGAGACACACTGTAAAAGACTGGAGCACTGCAAAGACTGGAAGCACACTGTAAGACTGGAGACACACTGTAAAGACTGGGCACACTGTAAGACTGAGCACACTGCAAAGACTGGAGGCACACTGCAAGACTGGGGGCACACTGCAAAGACTGGGGAGCACACTGCAAGACTGGGGGGCACACTGCAAAGACTGAGGGGCACTGCAAGACTGGGGCACACTGCAAAGACTGGAGGCACATCTGCAAGACTGGAGCACGCTGCAAAGACTGGAGGCACACTGCAAGACTGGGCCACTGTAAAGACTGGAACCTGTAAGACTGGAGGCACACACTGCAAAGACTGAGGCACACTGCAAGACTAGAGGCACACTGCAAAGACTGGAGAGCACACTGCAAAGACTGGAGGCACACTGCAAGACTGGGGGCACACTGCAAAGACTGGGGGCACACTGCAAAGATGGAGGCACGCTGCAAGACTGGAGGCACGCTGCAAAGACTGGAGGCACGCTGCAAAGACTGGAGGCACACTGCAAAGACTGGGGGCACACCTGCAAAGACTGAGGCACACTGCAAGACTGGGGGCACACTGCAAAGACTGGGGGCTGCAAAGACTGGGGGCACACTGCAAAGACTGGGCACACTGCAAGACTGGAGGCAGCTGCAAAGACTGGAGGCACGCTGCAAAGACTGGAGGCACAGCTGCAAAGACTAGGGCACGCTGCAAAGAACTGGAGCACGCTGCAAGACTGGAGGCACGCTGCAAAGACTGGCACGCCTGCAAAGACTGGAGCACGCTGCAAGACTGGAAGCAGCAAAGACTGAGCCCGCTGCAAAGACTGGGAGCACACTACTGCAAAGACTGGAGCACACTGCAAAGACTGGGGGCACACTGCAAAGACTGGAGGCACCTGCAAAGACTGGAGGCACGCTGCAAAGACTGGAGGCACGCTGCAAAGACTGGAGGCACACTTCAAGACTGGGCACGACTGCAAAGACTGAGCACGCTGCAAAGACTGGAGGCACACTGCAAAGACTGGAGCACACTGCAAAGACTGGAGGCACACTGCAAAGACTGGGGGCCACTGCAAAAGACTGGAGGCACGCTGCAAAGACTGGAGGCACACTTCAAGACTGGAGGCCGCGGCTGCAGACGGAGGCACGCTGCAAGACTGGAGGCACACTGCAAGACTGGGGACACTGCTGCAAAGACTGAGGAGCACACTGCAAAGACTGGGGGCACACTGCAAAGACTGAGGCACACTGCAAAGACTGGAGGCACGCTGCAGAGACTGGAGGCAGCTGCAAAGACTGGGCAGCTACCAAAGACTAGAGGCAGCTACAAAGACTAGAGGCACGCTGCAAGACGGGGGCACGCTGCAAGGACTGGGGGCACGCTGCAAGACTGGGGGCACACTGCAAGACTGGGGGCACTGCAAGACTGGGGCACACTGCAAAGACTGGGGGCACACTGCAAAGACTGGGGCACACTGCAAGACTGGGGGCACACACTGCAAGACTGGGGGCACACTGCAAAGACTGGAGGCACACTGCAAAGACTGGAGCACACTGCAAAGACTGGGGCACCTGCAAGACTGGAGCACTGCAAAGACTGGAGGCACACTGCAAAGACTGGAGGCACGCTGCAAAGACTGGAGGCACGCTGCAAGACTGGAGCACGCTGCAAAGACTGGAGGCACGCTGCAAGACTGGAGGCACGCTGCAAAGACTAGAGGCACACTGCAAGACTAGAGGCACGCTGCAAAGACTGAGGGCACGCTGCAAGACTGGGGCACGCTGCAAAGACTGGGGCACACTGCAAAGACTGAGGCACACTGCAAGACTGGGGGCACACTGCAAAGACTGGGGCACACTGCAAAGACTGGGGGCACACTGCAAGACTGGGGGCACACTGCAAAGACTGGAGGCACACTGCAAGACTGGAGGCACACTGCAAAGACTGGAGGCACACTGCAAAGACTGGGGCACACTGCAAAGACTGGAGGCACACTGCAAGACTGGAGGCACACTGCAAAGACTGGAGGCACACTGCAAAGACTGGAGGCACACTGCCTGCAAGACTGGAGGCACACTGCAAAGACTAGGCACACTGCAAGACTGGAGGCACACTGCAAAGACTGGAGGCACTGCAAAGACTGGAGCACACTGCAAAGACTGGAGGCACACTGCAAAGACTGGAGGCACGCTGCAAAGACTGGAGGCACACTGCAAGACTGGGGCACGCTGCAAAGACTGGAGGCACGCTGCAAAGACTGGAGGCACGCTGCAAAGACTGGGCACACTCGCGACTGGAGGCACTGCAAAGACTGGGGCACGCTGCAAGACTGGGGGCATGCTGCAAAGGATGGGGCACTCTGCAAAGATTGGAGCACCTGCAAAGACTGGAGGCACGCTGCAAGACTGGAGGCACGCTGCAAAGACTGGAGGCACACTGCAAAGACTGGGGCACACTGCAAAGACTGGGGGCACACTGCAAGACTGGGGCACACACTGCAAAGACTGGGGGCACACTGCAAGACTGGGGGCACACTGCAAAGACTGGGGGCACCTGCAAAGACTGGGGGCACACTGCAAGACTGGGGACACACTGCAAAGACTGGGGCACACTGTCAAAGACTGGGGGCACGCTGCAAAGACTGGAGCACGCTGCAAAGACAGGGCACGCTGCAAAGACTGAGGGCACCCTGCAAAGACTGGGGGCACACTCAAAGACTGGAGGCACACTGCAAAGGCTGGAGGCACACTGCAAGGCTGGAGGCACGCTGCAAAGACTGGAGGCACACTGCAAAGACTGGGGGCATGCTGAAAGGATGGGGCACTCTGCAATGATTGGAGGCACACTGCAAAGACTGGAGGCACGCTGCAAGACTGGAGGCACACTGCAAAGGCTGGAGGCACGCTGCAAAGACTGGAGGGACACTGCAAAGACTGGGGCACGCTGCAAAGACTGGGGCATGCTGAAGAAAGGATGGGGCACTCTGCAATGATTGGAGGCACACTGCAAAGACTGGAGGCACGCTGAAAGACTGGAGGCACGCTGCAAGACTGGGCACACTTCAAACACTGGGCACGCTGCAAAGACTGGAGGCACGCTGCAAGACTGGAGGCACACTGCAAAGACTGGAGGCACACTGCAAGACTGGGGAGCACACTGCAAGACTGGGGGCACACTGCAAAGACTGGAGGCACACTGCAAAGACTAGAGGCACGCTGCAAAAGACTGGGGCACACTGCAAAGACTGGGGGCACACTGCAAGACAGGCTGCAAAGACTGAGGCACACTGCAAAGACTGGGGCACACTGCAAAGACTGGGGGCACACTGCAAGACTGAGGGCACACTGCAAGACTGGGGGCTGCAAGACTGGGGCACACTGCAAAGACTGGGGGCACACTGCAAGACTGGGGGCACACTGCAAAACTGGGGGCACACTGCAAGACTGGGGGCACACTGCAAAGACTGGGGCACACTGCAAGACTGGGGGCACTGCAAAGACTGGGGGCACACTGCAAAGACTGGGGGCACACTGCAAGACTGGAGGCACACTGTAAGACTGGGGGCACACTGCAAAGACTGGAAGCACACTGCAAGACTAGAGGCACGCTGCAAAGACTGAGGGCACGCTGCAAAGACTGGGGGCACACTGCAAGACTGGGGGCACACTGCAAGACTGGGGGCACACTGCAAAGACTGGGGGCACACTGCACAAAGACTGGGGGCACACTGCAAGACTGGGGGCACACTGCAAGACTGGGGGCACACTGCAAAGACTGGGGGCACACTGCAAGACTGGGGGCACACTGCAAAGACTGAGGCACACTGCAAAGACTGGGGCACACTGCAAGACTGGGGCACATCAAAGACTGGGGCACACTGCAAAGACTGGGGCACACTGCAAGACTGGGGGCACACTGCAAAACGGGGGCACACTGCAAAGACTGGGGGCACTGCAAGACTGGGGCACACTGCAAAGACTGGGGGCACACTGCAAAGACTGGGGGCACACTGCAAAGACTGGGGCACACTGCAAGACGGGGGCCTCTGCAAAGACTGGGGCACACTGCAAAGACTGGGGGCACACTGCAAGACTGGGGGCCTGCAAAGACTGGGGCACACTGCAAGACTGGGGGCACACTGCAAGACTGGGGGCAGCTGCAAAGACTGGGGGCACGCTGCAAAGGCAGGGCACCTGCTGCAAAGACTGAGGGCACGCTGCAAAGACTGGGGGCACGCTGCAAGACTGGGGCACCTGCAAGACTGGGGCACACTGCAAAGACTGGGGCACTGCAAAGACTGGGGGCACGCTGCAAAGACTGGGGGCACTGCAAAGACTGGGGCACGCTGCAAAGACTGAGGCACACTGCAAAGACTGGGAGCACCTGCAAGACTGGGGGCACACTGCAAGACTGGGGGCACACCACAAGACTGGGGGCACACTGCAAGACTGGAGGCACTGCAAAGACTGGGGGCACACTGCAAAGACTGGGGGCACACTCCAAAGACTGGAGGCACACTGCAAAGACTGGAGGCACCTGCAAAGACTGAGGGGCACGCTGCAAAGACTGAGGGCACTGCAAGACTGGGGCACACTGCAAAGACTGGAGGCACGCTGCAAGGCTGGAGGCACACTGCAAAGACTGGGGGCACTGCAAGACTGGGGCACACTGCAAAGACTGGGGCACGCTCAAAGACTGAGGGCACGCTCAAAGACTGGGGCACGCTGCAAGACTGGGGCACACTGCAAAGACTAGGACTGCAAGACTGGGGGCACGCTGCAAAGACTGGGGCACGCAAAGACTGGAGGCACGCTGCAAGACTGGAGGCACTGCAAGACTGGAGGCACACTGCAAAGACTGGAGGCACTGCAAAGACTGGAGGCACACTGCAAAGACTGGAGCACACTGCAAGACTGGGCACCTGCAGGACAGGCACACTGCAAAGACTGGAGCACACTGCAAGACTGGGCACACTGCAAAGACTGGAGCACACTGCAAGACTGGGCACACTGCAAAGACTGGGCACACTGCAAAGACTGGAGGCACACTGCAAGACTGGAGGCACTGCAAAGACTGGAGCACACTGCAAAGACTGGAGCACACTGCAAGACTGGAGGCACATTGCAAGACTGGGCTTGCAAGACTGGAGCACATTGCAAAGACTGGAGGCACGCTGCAAAGACTGGAGGCACGCTGCAAAGACTGGAGGCACGCTGCAAAGACTGGGGGCACGCTGCAAAGACTGGGGGCACACTGCAAAGACTGGAGGCATACTGTAAAGACTGCAGGCACGCTGCAAAGACTGGGGGCACACTGCAAAGACTGGAGGCACACTGCACAGACTGGAGGCACACTGCAAAGACTGGAGGAACTCTGCACAGACTGGAAGCACATCCTAAAGACTGGAGGCACACTACAGAAGACTGGAGGCACACTGCACAGACTGGAGGCACACTGCAAAGACTGGAGACACAATGCACAGACTGGAGGCACACTGCAGAACACTGGAGGCACACTGCAAAGACCGGAGGCACACTGCACACACGGCTGGACCAGTCTCACTTTATTAAAGACAGGTATAGTATGATGAATATTAACTACATAAAGCGGAAACTTTTAACATATCGTACCAGATTTGTCTTTACGCTTGCAGAGGTTAACGCATGGTTTTCCAATTTGGTGTAAATTACTTCCATGGGGGTAATTTGGCATTTTTGGGGGTAACGAGTCCATCAGACAGAACTGATGGTTGTAATTTTGGTCCTTATGCTTCGTTCCTCATGAACATCAGCAGCAAAGATTGAAATAGACTGAACTCGGAAAGTGATATCAGATGTGACCTGACAAAGTTATCCCCATGGATTCAAGAAATGGCCACCAACCGAAATGACATTCAATGAAAGTTGTATTTCATGTTCAATATTATAATTACTGTATAATACACAATTTGAAATAAAGTAATGGTAAAAATTCAATAGCGAATTTTATTTGCAGTCATTCATTTCATGACAATGAAGACAGTGGCTTCGACAAAAAGTTATGAAAAAATACATTTAAAATCTATGTGGGGCTAATGAGTGTTGTTGTCAGATTTGTTTTGGGGCAATGCTTAAAACTAATTGGGAACGAGAATAAGTTAACGATACTGGTTGTTGGTTGACTAATTCTGATATCCCACTCTCTCTCACCTTTTCTTATATTAATTATTTTACTGTTCTCTTTTCCCCCTTTTCTCTCCTAGTTTCTTTCCTTCTTCCTTCAAATTATCATTTTGCATTTTTTCTGCGTAAAAGCGAAATAATTCCACCAGACAAACAAAATGCTCGAACAAGAGTTATTCAGTCGCTTATAAAAATCTAAAGACGGAAAAATAGTTTCAAATTAAGCAAAGGCATTGTTGAGGCTTTATGCTTTTGTTAAGCTGGAATACAATCAAGAAATTTTCCACCGAGGCTGTAGCCAGGAACACATCCGGCCAAAATGTAATTAGTTACATTGTGGGGATTCTGGCGGAGTGGATATTGTACTGAAATGGGTTTGAATTCCCGTTTAGGAAGCAAAGTATAAGTTCAATCCTACGAGACCCAGTACTATCAGTATCACTATCACTACTGACTTGTCGTACAACTACAGCTGGATCACAAATATCCAGATCACAAGGAATGATGTTATGTCCCTACCTCTATATCATCTCATGGTAACGACTTCGATGCTGAAATCGTATGAAGAAATAGGCTTGGCGTAGCTGCAAGATCTGATTTGTTATGTTTTGGGAGAGAGAATTGCTCTCAGAGCAGAGAAAAGCTACTGAGTATGTGTGTCATATTTCAAAAGGATTTACTGTATTTTTCTATTGGCGTTGAAAAAGTTATTAAATTTGTTTGTGATGAAATGGGTGTAGGAGGCAATACAGGATGTGTTGAGACAACATATAGAAATTAGATCTGGTCGAAGATGGATGGATGACTTTTTTCTAACTTTAATAATGATGTGATAGTCAGGGAAGGTTGTCAGGCGTGCCAAGCTTTAGACTTTAGGTTTATTATACGTACACACAAGAAGAAAAATTAAACAAATTCTTCTGTAGAGGATGACAACAGCGAGTGACTCTTCCGGCGATTTCACCAACTTAGGCATAGAAAACGTTTCCTACTGTTGCTCGTGTGAACGTCACTTTTATCTCCTCCACTCAAATGTTATCGGATTTACTGTAGGTGGTTCATGGAAGTAAATTTAACTGAAATTTCGACAATTAAACATAAACAGAGTTCTTAGTGTTAAATCTGCCAGAGCTATCCTTCCTGTAAACCGGTGTTAAATTCTATCGTTACCTAAATTTAGAGAAACATAGACAGACACCATAACACCCGTCGAAAATATCTTAATTCCTTACTAAAAGTTTTATCTAAGACAAGGAGGGAGAAAAGGGTCCCATAAGTGGGCTAGACTTGACGGATACAAGATGTCTCAGAATTCATCTTTCCTCCCCGGTATTTAAATCACAGATAACTGAATATCTGGCGGTAATTACAGAATGCATATGGCTTTATTCTCAAGACATAAATACTTTACGGTACAGAGTTTATGATAGTTTCTGTAGAATAAAAAAAATGGCAAACCACCATAGTGAGAGGAACAGTGAATAATTATGGACTGCGCTACGAATTATCTGAAATACAATACTGGACAACGTTCATTTGGCAAAAGGAATTTATAATAAATACTAGAGGAATCGCCGCCCTCCGGGAGGCTCTTTCGCTAGGTTCAAGATTTCTTAAGAGCATTATAGGAGTTCCAATCTTGAGTGTGAGGTGATGAGGAGGCATTCCAGCGGGCTCCAAAGAATTAAGGAATTCCCAGACACTGGACTGCTTGGTCCTGGTCGATTACTGTATCAACAGATTTGAATGAGGTCTCACTGCCTGGAAGCTGTCTGAGTAGTCATGTTGATTTCAGCCACTGTTTCATTCTTTGGTGCTAGAATTGCGCGTTCACGCAGCCACTTGTGATCCTTGTAGTGGTGGATAATGTTTGGGTAGACCATGTTAGTGAGCTAAGTTGAGGACTTTACAACATTTCCACGTCCTTTTCAACCTCTGTGTGGTTTAACAGGTCGGGTTGGGTGTGTCGGATCGGGTTGGTTGGAGGTTTGTTTTTGAGATCTCCACATGACACTTGCTATCCATGCCAAGTTTGGTCCGGGCGGCTCATTCGCTAGGCCACGGTAGGACGCCACCCTCCGGGAGGCTCCACATTGTCTCACTGTTCAGTCCCCAAAATTTCTTCTTCTTCCATCAATATTTCATTAACGGTGTATGTAAGTTCCACTACAACGGTACAGCAAAGTATATTTTTTTAGCATTAAACTTTTATTATTTTATTGCCTTATCATCACTACATATAACACCACCCATCATCACTACATATAACATCATCCATCATCACTACATATAACATCATCCATCATCACTACATATAACATCATCCATCATCACTACATATAACATCATCCATCATCACCTATAACATCATCCATCATCACTACATATAACACCCATCATCTACTACATATATGTCATCATCGTACATATAACATCATACTTCATATAACTACATCCATCATCACTACATAACTTTTCCTACCTATCACCACCGCATTAATATCATCTACTACCTTATAACTTTAATCATCATCACTATATACTCTTTCATCCATCATCACCATTTAACACCATCCATCATCTTTTCTGAATCAGCAGTAGGTTCCAGATTCTCGTGAGACACACAAATACATAACTTCTTTGTTTTATATATATATATATATATATATATATATATATATATATATATATATATATATATATATATATATATATATATATAGATTGAATTAAATGTAATGGAACTACTTTCAGTAAATGCCCTATAAAATAGCTAGAGAAGATATAAGATACACTGCACCCACTTCCTGATTAAAGTTTCATAAATAAATATTATAAAAATGTTTTGTTCGAGTATTTTATTATTTTATTTTCAAAAGACCCAATATTAAATTACATTTTATAAATATTAAAAAAAATATTCGATGCTGTACAATATTAATGATATATTGTTTAGTTGCTAAAAGTTATGTTGCCCTCATTCTATTTTTTTTTATTTTTCTAATATAGAAATGGACTGAGCGAGATACACGTGACAGCGTTCTCTGTGAAGGATGATGTAAATGACCTGCGATTTACATACCAGTTAAGTTTCATTGGTGCATCATGAGCAAGAAAAATGAAAATACTCCACCACCTCTAGGACATACAGACGCCTAAATGGACTGTATGGTACTTAACATGCATCATGATTATCACTTGTTATTTCACAAAGCATGGATAACCAGTCACAGGAAGGTGATGAGATGCTGAATTAATTATTGGGATGGCTGGTAAGTTGATTAATAATCTTGACGAAGACTAATTACCTATCCATTAGATGACATGCTCTTGGATGTTCCAGTGTCAGATTGAGTCATCCTTCCCTCGTCTCTCTGTAGTGTGTGTAGTCGTATGATGGGTGCCATCTACAGATTGTGTAGAGTAGTGGGCGTAGTCTACAGGTTGTGTAATGTAGTGGGCGCCGTGTACAGGTTGTGTAGTATAATGGGCGTCGTCTGCAGGTTCTATTGTGTAATGGGCGTTGTCTATAGATTGCGTAGTGTAGTGGGCGTCGTCTACAGGTTGTGTAGTGTAGTGGGCGTCGTCATTAGGTTGTACAGTATAGTGTAGTGGGCGTCGTCTACAGGTTGTGTCGGATACAGGCTGTGTAATGAAGTGGGCGTCGTCTACAGGTTCAATAGTGTAGTGGGCGCCGTCTACAGGTTGTGTAGTGTAGTGACCATCGTTTACAGGTTGTGTAGTGTAGTGGCCATCGTCTACAGGTTGTGTTGTGCAGTCGGTGTCGTCTACAGGTTGTATAGTGTCGTCGGTGTCGTCTACAGTTCTCTGCGACGTGTCAGTGACTCAGTTCCAGTCACCAATCATTGAAATATAAAAGCATTTGGTAAATCAAACTACAAGTTTTGTAATATGGTGGTGGTGACTGTTGGTCCAGTCTCCTAATTCAATAACGTGTCAGAGGATGTTGAAGACACCCAGTGCAAGATTAGGAACTTGTACAACTACCTCTCGGGTTCACAGTGTTAGTTCTGAACCTTGTCGGTGACTCTTGGATGCATCTGTTAGCTTGAAAATGTATTTATGAGTACTGCTTGTGAGAATGGTCCTGTAGCATTATGGTTACTGAGACACGTAAGGACAATAAGAGTAATGAGTTATACGGATTCGCCAGGGTGAGAGGCAAGAGATAGTGCGCAACCTTTCCTCAGGCCATCTTCACATCACTACTAAATTTTAACTGTCAATCTTAAAACGCTGGAAATGCATAAGGAACACACACACACACACAAGAACATAAGAATGGAGGAAACTGCAGCGGGCCTTTTGGTCCATACTGGGCAGTCCCATTTACACCCAATTCCTATTGCTCATATATCCATCTAACCTATGTTTGAAGCTATCCAACGTATTTGAGTAAATGATGATGTTTGGTAACTTATTCCACTCATCCACTACTCTATTTCCAAACCAATGTTTACCTATTTCACGCCTAAATCTAAATTTGTCTAACCATTGTTACGAGTTGGCTCCTCCTGGTTGGATAGTTTGAGTACCTTTGTAATATCCCCTTTGTTTAGCCCTGACTTCCATTTATACACCTCTATCATATCGCCCCTCACTCTACGTCTCTCAGGGTAGTGCAAATTAAGATGCTTCAACCTGTCTCAATGCTCAAGGTTCCTAATGCCCGGAATTAGTATTGTCATTCACCTCTGAATTCTTTCTAAGGATTCTATATCCATTCTGCAATACGTGTCCAGAATTCAACTGCGTAATCCAAGTGAGGTCTCACAAGCGCAAGATATAGTTTTAGGATGACCTCTCTAGTCGTGTAACTATCACTCATTTGTATGAACCCAAGTACTTTATTAGCCTTGTTTTGAGCAAATACACATTGCTTATTTGGCTTAAGATTCCTACTTATCAATACTCCTAAAACCTTCACACATTCGGATTTCTCTATAACATCGTCGTCCACATTGAATTTCATCTGCCATTTTTCAGATTATTCGATTTTTTTTTTAGATCTTCCTGTAGTTTTGCGGAGTCCTCGTCAGATTTAATTACGCGCCCTATTTTAGTGTCGTCAGCAAATTTGCTTATGTTGCTGTCTACGCCGATATCTATGTCGTTATGTAAATAATAAATATTAATGGCCCAAGTACTGAGCCCTGGGGTACTCCACTAGTGACGTTACTCCAATCGGATTTAGTGCCGTTAATGCTCACTCGCTGTTTCCAGTCCTGTAACCAGGCACTAATCCATTTTAGAATATGTCCTCCAATGCCGAATTGAGTTTTGTCATCATTCCTAGCACTATTTCCCTGTAACCTTTCACTTTGCTTACCCGCTCCCATTGCAGTCTCCCCCACCTCCGTGCCCATATGTTCCCCTAGCGGTTTAAGGACTTCGACTTCTTTTGAACTGCCCTCTCGCGATAGCCAGCCAAGGTTACCACCCCATCCCTAGAGAGATGCACCCCATCCCTCGCATAAAGGTCCCTTCTACCGTAAAAGTTGTCCCAGTAGTCAATTAATGGGACTGATATTGACTTGCAATATCTGTCAAGATGGCCGTTGACACCAACTGCCCTTGACAACCATTCATTGCCAACTCTCCTTCAAGAGAGGACACCACATATGATAGGGATCCCTCCCTTCAGCCTAATGCATTCTATAGCTGTCTTGAACTTATCAAGAAGATCCTCACTCCTGCACCGGCCAATATCATTGCCTCCTGCTCTGAGGCAGATAATGGGTTGGTTCCCATTACCAGAACAAGATATTGTCCATCCTGTCAACTATATCCCCCATTCCAGCTCCTGGCAAACAAACCCTCATCTTATTTATATTTTTACCACAAAAAGCTCTATCCAGGTATTATGCCTGGGAATCGCCAACAATTAAGGTTTTCGTACCTTCCTTGCCTGCCCTGTCCCTGACTATGCTAACGTTCAGTTAGTCTATCAAAGGTCTAAAAGAGTTTGTACACTTAGCTGTTGTCGTTTCCTTGGTATATTTTCTCGCTACCATTTTGGTCGTTCCTCTCCTCACAAGCTTCTATTCGCTTAAGTTTTCGCCAGACACTGGCTTTCCTTGTCTCGTGTCTTCTTCCTTCATCCCCGTTATCACTTTCTTTAATTCCAAGTTTTCTTCTTTGACCTTCACTAACTCGGCCAGTAGCTCGGCCCTCAGAAGGGTACAACTCTGTTCACAAGTATTACTAGCCATTATCGACAATTTTCCCCGGAAGCTAAGTCTACCGTAACCTTTCCTTTGGCGAGTCAGAACATAACACAGGAAATATGACAGACAGCCCCCTTTCCCACTGACTTAGTAGAAGAATTTGAAGTAGCAAAACGTCTGGACAAATTAAAGTTAAAACGCTCCACCACCCCCACTGACTTACCAATGAAACTCTTCAAGGAGTTCTCCCCGGAGCTTGCTAAACCCCTCTGCTCCATCATCAATGCTTCTCTCATTCAAGCTAGATGTCCAACTGACTGGAAGACTTCTTATGTGTCACCAGTGCCCAAGTCAACCAGCCCACAATCCTTAAATCAACTACGACCCATTGCAATCACCCCAATACTCAGCTGATATTACAGGAGCCATAGATCCTCAGCAATTTGGTAATATGAAAACTTCCTCCACCACTCACTGTCTTGTCAGCTTTCTCGACTACATATACCGCCATCTGGAGAAACGAAAAACGTCTGTAGCTGTTGCCTTCAATGGCTTCACTAAGGCATTCGACCTAGTCGACCACAATTTAATCATCAACAAAGCTATCAACCTCGGGTTTCGAAGAAGTCTTATACCATGGCTTACAGACTTCCTCAGTAACCGACGCCAAGCTGTACACTTCCGATGGGCTGTCTCCACCTTTCAGTCACTCACCTGTGGCGTCCCCCAAGGCACCAAGATGGGACCACTATGCTTCCTTATACTTATCAATAATGCCCTAAGAGAAACCCCTGCTCGCTGGAAATATGTCGACGACTCCACCATTGGGATCAGCGTCAACAATTCTGCTCCCGAGTATACCGCCCTTCAGGATTTATTGAACAGACTCCAAAACTCAGCCACCAACAACCACGTCACCATCAACCATACCAAGACCATGGTTATGCAAATCAACCTCTCCTCCGACGTTGCCCCACGCCCTTCCATTACTTTAGGTCCCAACACACTCCAGGTTGTAGATTCCACTAAGCTCCTCGGCGTCAACATTGACAACAAACTAAATTGGAAACCACACGTCAGTGAAGTTGTCAAATCCTCCAGTTTCCGTCTCCTCCACCTCCTCCGCCGACTCAAGTCCCTCGGAGTTCCTGCACCCGAGCTCCTTGTGTTTACTCAACATTCATACTTCCCAAGCTCACCTATGCCCCCCTACCTGGTCTTCCTCCCCAAATGCCACACAACATAAACACCTAGAAAAAGTGCAAAAGAGGGCATGTAAGATTATTCTCTCCCCTTCCTACTCTACATACCAAGAAGCGCTCAACACACTGACCCTCTCGGCTCTCACTGATCATCACCACGACCTCATCTGCAAATTTGGTGAGAAGCTTCTGCACCATCCTCGACACCGGTTCCTACTATCACCTGAGATCCCTCGCCCGAGAATTGCTATTCGACACCACAACCGCATCCAGCCCGTACGAGCACGAATTGATCGCTATAAGAACAGCCCAGTCCCAACCATTGTAGATATTATCAATAACTTGTAATGAACCAGTATATTCACTGCCAGTCAATCTTACATTCTCCACTGTCACTATGTTGAAATGCTTTGTAGTTTGACCTTCTCCCCACCTAGTTATTATAGATCATATTTGTATCACTTATGTTACTTGTATATTATTTGTAAATCAAGAGACCCATTCCCCAATTATGTAACTGTAAATTTTCAGCCTTCCGGCTACCATGCTCTTTCAATAAACCGTTAATTATTATTAATTATTATTACACAGACGAACCGACCAATTGAGACGAACAGACAACGAACAGACAGACGGAACAGACAGTTAAGACGAACAGACGAACCGAACAGACAGACAGACGGGCAGACAGACAGACAGACGAACAGATAGATAGATAGATAGATAGATAGATAGATAGATAGATAGATAGATAGATAGATAGATAGATAGATAGATAGATAGATAGATAGATATTGGTAACAATGATAGTAATTAAGAGACATAGCAACAGTAATAACAAAATAATTAGAAGTCATAATTATGATCTTTATTCTGCTGACATTCACATAACTTACAGGAATTAAACAAAATAAAAAAGTTACATGTCTTTAGATTGAAGCAACAATTTCATAAATTCCCAAGACCCGAGAAACAATTCAAAATTTAAGGACAATATAATTATCATTTGTGTATTCCATAATTTATTGTGAAAGTAAGTAAGTAGTGAGTAGATCAGGTGATGAGTGTTACTATGCAGATGTTGTCAGTACACATATTATATTCAGCTAATAAAATAATATTCCATTGCAATACATAGATTTCAGCTGTATCTGGTCTTTAAGCAATACTTGAATCTTAATCTTGTAATTATTAAAGGTTGATATGTAATTATGTATCAATAAATGTTACAGGGGGAAGAGACAGAACAAAAGTATTTCTAACATGAAAATATTCATATCCGTAATAAAACGTTTGAAAGAAAAATAAAATCATTCAGGTAAAATATTAATTAACAACTCAGCATCAATACACAATGAAATTAATTAAAATCTCTTTCAGTGGCATATACTTGATGAATCGACTTTTGTATTATATATCACAAATTCACTAAACCTTGCTTAGTCCAATACCAGTGGTACTAAATTATGTACAATCAACAACAACAATTTCTGCATCCCTGGGTGTGACGGCCTTCACAACGATCACTGACTGAGGCCATGTTCATTTGATAAGGTTAGTACTTCTGATTGTATGATGCATTGTGTAACTAATACGATGTATTTTGTATATCACGTATTACGGTAATACAGAGAAATTAACAAGATACGCCATAACTCATGAGTGTTGTTCGGAATTCTTGGTCCGGTGTCATATTGTATAAAACACTGTAAGGGTGCAGAATTTTTTTTTTTTTGTTGACTGTACCTGCAGAAGTGTACCAGAGGTGACTATGGCACACTGGGTACCGCCTCGCAGGTATAGCTGAAGCAGATGGCACAGCAGCTTGATACCTTTGAGCGGAGTGGTCCTGTGCCCTGCGTCAACGATGCAGTAACTACCTGAGCATTTACTTTACCAGAGTTTAATCAGCTCACTTAGAACAAACTACGACTAATTACGCCGAATTACCAGAAAGCTTTAACAGACTGAGTAGAGTTTAGATTGCACTTGGAATTTCAGAGTGTAGCTTGGAAAACCAATCTGAAATTATGCTTGTTGAATGCAGCAACGTCTATAGTTGGACGAAATTGCATTCATGAATCTAAACTACTTGTAACTCAGACTTGGTCCTATAAATGACGAAGATCCCAAAGATTATATACGATCATATTGGCCTAAAACACCTTAACTACACAAGTCAAAAGTACTTTCCTACGTGCACTCAATTCACCCTGCCCCACCCCCCTCCCTCAATCAACCTCAGTTCTCCCCCCTCACGCTCCCCACAAATTACTTCCACGATCTCCTCCCCTTTCACCCTCCTTCCCCCACACCCCCAACAGTCTTCTCCCCTACCCCCTCCTTCCCCTTAACTATCATCCGTCTCCCATTCCTAACCCCCCTCCCGCCGACCGTCCCTGCCGTGAAAGCAAGTTATAGCAAGACATGTTACCTAAGGCTGAATTAACTACAGGTAATCTGATAAAGAGCAAAGTAATGTTACTACGACCGCCGGACCTCTGATTATCACATCCGACATTCTCGTTTATTCCCTGAGAGAGAGAGAGAGAGAGAGAGAGAGAGAGAGAGAGAGAGAAAAAAAATGAGAAACGGAGACACAGACACAGAAAATAAGAGATTACTTTTTTAATTAATTCAGCCACCCATTTCACCAGACCGAGGTAACAAACACAATTATGAAGGTAATAATACATGTTCAGTGGAGGTGTAGCAACAAATGATATGGTAGAAGTTCCTGTTTATTTGTTTGTTTACTTGCCTGTTTGTTTGCTTGTTTTTTATACAATCAATATGTTTAATTTTTTTATTTTGTCCAGATATTTTGGTCTTGACACCATCCTAAACTTGCCCACCTACCCGATCCTGCCCGTCCTACCCCTCTCTAACCTGTCCTACATTACCCGTCACGTTTCCCTCCCCCTCTTTCTCTCCCGTCTCTCTCTCTCTCTCTCTCTCTCTCTCTCTCTCTCTCTCTCTCTCTTCATGAAGTCTTTGGTATTACACAAAAGTCTTTTATTTCCTGTATCAAGGTTATTTCTTGCCCACAGAAGCACTTACTCAGTGTCATAACTCATCATAATCAGTCACACCAAAACACCCCACCACTAAATACTAATGATCCTGAACTGCTTGAATAGTGAGAGTCTTGGTTTTTATTTTGTAAGCAAATTAACGCGTTTAGCAAATTGGTAATCATAGACGAGGATCACCAAAGGTTTAAAATTAAAACCAAACCTCTTAATTTTGTTTCCTCTTTTATGAAAGTCGTATATCGTTCTACAGCTGATCGCCTCTTTTATAGAAAAACTCAAAATCTTTACAACAGTAACAGCAGAACCCTTTATGTTGCTAAAGCTAAGATTAAAATAATTTACTTAGCTTATGTAAAGATACTGAACACAATATCACACACCTGTACTGATTCTTTGGGATGACTATAAGGTGTTGAGAGACTTGAAATAATGCAAACGAAATAATTGAGAATTATCACCAGCTACCCTCAAAACCACTTAACATGGGCGTATCCTGTCTTAAAGGCAGAATAGTTAAAATCACTCTTATAATACTACTTCCGGGAGTCTTGGTAAGGGTGTATGTAAAATTGATGCTAATTACTGGTATACCAATATTCAACACAGCGGAGTGACATGAAAACATTCCGCCGTTTGATAGTTTGTCTCCTCTAACATTTCCAAATTTACTCGTTCCACTAGGCTAAGTGTGGTGGCAAGTAATGGCGGTGTAGGCCACGAGTGGTGGCAGGTAAGGAGGGTGTGGGCCAGGTGTGGTGGCAAGTAATGGCGGTGTAGGCCAGGTTTGGTGGCAGGTAGTGAGGGTGTG